ATAATTATGTATGTTTTCAATAATGTATTCATATATATATTTTTGTGTGTGTTTAGGGTGGACATGTAATCTTGTTGTAGGTCAAGGGACGGCATAAGGGATAGGCACGTGGTGTGCGATCTATGGACAGCACGTGCCTAAACTTCAATGCTGCTTATGCAATAAGAATATATTAATTGTGGGATTAATCATTCATTTATTAATTTAATGAAAAATAATGATAAATTTGGATTTGTTGGGTTTACGTATGTTGTGGGGTTGTGGGTGATGTGATGTCACGTGCGATCTGAGAATGTTTATTTGATTGACACGTAGTCGTGTGATCAAAGGCTGCAAATTCTCGAGGTTTCAATGGTGTACATCTCACATCCTGCAACTTGGATAGCAGGACCATTGTTATGCATGGTTTAGGCCCAACTTTAAGTTGAGAGAGACCCATGGGATTGTGGTTAGAGTGGAGCTAGGCTCCACTAGTAGTAACAACAATACAACAATGTTGGTGAGTGATATATGGGAGTATATATATGACAATGTTTGACCATATTTAAGCGCTTCTTGATATGTGAGATCAGAAGGTGGATCTTATATGAACGAAAAAATTACACGTAAAACGTCATTTAAATCACTAGTCTCCTCAGCACAAACACGTGGCATAACTGTCTTCGTTGATTTGCAGGTGAATGTCATGTACCCCTCGTTAATGATAATTTTGGCATGTGTTCCCTAAGCCAGCTCCACAGGAGGGGAGACTTTAGTTATAGAATACTTTTAATACTTATGGACCTGTTGATAATTTTTCGACCCTTCAACTCTAATGAAACTTTGTGTTTTAAGAATTAGAAATATTACATTTTTACTTACAAAAATATATTTGGACTTAACACACCAACCTAGGATAATAACATTATCATTCTATTTATAACAATCAACTCGAATTTTACACTGATGCAATAAATAACTCAAATTATAATTCGCATAAACAATTCTCATCATATCGTTTTTTTTTTTTATTGCACTGCAATAGTATTTACACCTTACGAGGTGACACTAATCCACATGAGTCTTAGAGGCCCCATTCAAAGACTGTTCTCTCTTAAGAATGTTGTTGCAGACACATGAATGACATTAGTTAACCTGGAGGGTGTAGTTGAGTGGAAGTATCTCATCCATCCTTAACTAAAAGTCAAGGGTTTGATCCTTGGCTTTGGGAATGGAGTAGCCTTAAATTTTCGCGAGTGGATTAATCACCTGTCCCCTATTTAAGTGATTGCACTGAAACGCCTTATTCGAACTAACACATTTCTTGATTAATCACTGTGTCTCGAACTAACACATTCTAATAACGATCATCTTCACCTCAACTATTCTTCTTGATGCATCTTTGAGTCAAGTTTGGAGAGTTATTTTTCTATTTATCAAAATTATATAGTAGTGTTTGGCTTGAAAAATAGGTCTATTTTGTTACGGAGTATTTGTTTATTTTAGGAATAAGGGTCAAATAGGCCACTGAACTGCACACGAGAATGCAATTAGGTCACCGAACCTAAAAAACCTACAATTGGATCCCTAAACTAATCAATTTCATTCAATTTGTCAAATTTTTAGGTTTCTCAAGTTGCTAACAAGTTACCCCTCCACCTAGGATGCATATGTGGTATTTTTTAAAAAATAATTTATTTTTAAATTAGTTTTTCTAATGTTTAATAAATAAAAATTAAAATAATTATTTAATTTACTAATTTGTTTCCTATTAAAAATTTAGTTTTTTTTTTAATGTTTAATAAATAAAAATTAAAATAATTTAATTTGCTAATTTGTTTCCTATTAAACAATCGAATTACTTGTTTAGATCAAAGAGATTAATCGCAGGAAGACTTCTTGCAGACTTCATCACAGTCAACTTCAAATTAGATATGCGTAATATATTTCACTTTTTCAATTACTGTATCGTGGATTCGTGGCCAGGAACAAATATTAAAACAATTAACAACTTATTTAATTGAAACTATCGTGATTTGGTAATTTTTGAATTTTAAAATAATTAGTTTGTATTGGTGATTTGTGAATTTTAAACAAATACAAATTATTTTATTTATTAAAAAAAAACAAATTATTTTAGTTTTTATTTATTAAGCATTAAAAGACTAATTTAAAAATAAATTATTTTAATTTTTATTTATTAAACATTAAAAAAACTAATTTAAAAATAAATTATTTTAAAAAAATGCCACATAAGCATCTTAGGTGGAAGGGTAACTTGTTAGCAACTTGAGAAACCTGAAAAATAGACAAATTGAATGAGATTGGTTAGTTTAGGGGCTCAATTGTAGGTTTTTTTTAGGTTCAGTGGCCTAATTGCATTTTTGTGTGCAGTTCAGTGGCTTATTTGACCCTTATTCCTTTATTTTATAGCTATTTTTTAAAATGTTACAGCTGGAATAATAATTTAAGTTTTTTGAAAGCAAATGATTAAATTTGAACTTGTTGTGAGTTGTACAAGTATTTGGGGTCTATTGACTAATTGAAGTATATATCACGATTTACCTATTGCACCCGTTTGTAGGTAAGGAACACTAAGGAGACATTAAATTTGAGTCCAAACTTACCTATTAATATAAAGTTTATTATGAAACCATTTTTTTTTTTTTTTTCAAATTATAGAGCTTTCTTTGTTCCTTTAATTTGTTAAAAGTCGTTAAAGTGTTGCCATGAAAAAACCAAGAAACAATTTACAGATAAATATGGCCTTTGAGCATACCTAATGGCCAATTTTAATCTTGATGAGCTTCTGCCCATGCTCCAAATTATGAGATAGCTACAAGGATTATCTGACATTCTTTACTCATTCCACAACCAAATCCTATTTAGCTTTTGATTAGGACTTGCCCATAATCGCTCTGCCAAATGTTGCACCAACTTCAAAATTTTAATTATTTAAGAAAATCGAGAAAATTCAAACTAAAATACAAATCAGCTTAGAATTTAATCGAGATTGATCGTTAAAAGGTATAAACTCGAGATCAACATTTCTTAAGAAGATTTAGCTCGAGTCAGAAAATGACCATCGTTAGAGATGGTAATTGTGGAATACTCGTGAGTATCAACCTAATGAAGCATACAGAGTTAAGAACGCCTCCACTCAAGTTCAATCTCATTACTTCTTACACGGGAGAGGTCAATACATGCCATCTGAGCATAAGGTGCTTGGCGTAGGGTTTGTGAACCTATTTAATATATTTGATAAAAAATTACATAATTTGGTATAATATATACCTATACAACATGTGAAACTTTGTAAAAATTTAATTATAGGTTTTCATTGCTACTCTAATTCGTGATGGGTATGTATTGATATATTGCAAGCAATCCAAAATCCATCATCCATCATCCATCATCCATCATATACCTAAAATTGCCTAATTTGTTGCCGTGCCTACCCACCGTAGCCACTTTATAGATGTGAATCATGGTCTACACACGTTGTATGGATCATATTTTGTATACTTTAAAATAATGTATATTTAGTATAAAAATAATGTACATTTAATACAAAAATAATGTACATTACATTCAGGGGATGTACATTATTTTGTACTGAGTGTACATTATATTGTATAATGTACATACAATAATAAAATAGTGTACATTTAGTATATTAAAAATATATTTTTTGTTATGGTCCACATAACATATGGTCCACACAATAATTTGGCTAGAGTAGCTCTCGCAAATTATAACGTGGACCATGGTTCACATTGTAATGTAGACTACAAAATACATATTAATATATTGCAAGCAATCCAAAATCCATCGCATGCACATATTTTATATTTACTTTAGTTCAAGCACAAAATTACATAACATAAGATTAAAAACGCATAACACAAGATACAAAAACGTATGTTATATTTACTTCAATACAATTATGTGTATTTGTTTATACAATTATGTGTATTTTAGTATAAAATTATGTACATTTTTGAACATGATTTTTTTTTATAGAAAAATAACCGCCAACACAAGGTAGCGATTTTTTTTTTTTTTTTTTAAAAAGAATCTGAAACGATGTCGTTTTGCATCAGGACGCACAATGGAATGCGCGTCCTGGTGCACGATATAAATCATTCATTATTGTGTGGACCATGGTCCACACAAGTTGTATGGACCATATTTTGTCTACTGTAAAATAATGTACATTCAGTACAAAAATAATGTACATTGTATTCAGGGGATATACATTATTTTTGTTCTGTGTACATTATATTGTATAATGTACATTCAGTATATTAAAAATGTACTTTTTGTTATGGTCCACATAACATGGCAAATTATGCTGTGCATCCGTATGCACCATGCATGGTGCATACGGATGCAAAAACGACGTCGTTTTAATAAAACGCGCGTCTCCCCTTTAAAAAACAAATTAGGTTCGATTCCCAGCAACAACATATGAACTAAAATTCCATAATCGATGAACTATAATTCCATAATCTAATCTATGAACTAAAAATTCCAGAATGAATGAACTAAAATTCCGTAATCTATAAACTAAAATTTCAGAATCGATGAACTACAATTCCATAATCGATGAACTATAATTCCATAATCAATGAACTACAATTCCATAATCTATGAACTAAAATTCCAGAATGAATGAACAATATAATGTTGTTGCTGGGAATCGAACCTGAATTTTTTTAAAAGGGGAGACGCGTGTTTTTTAATAAAACGACGTCGTTTTAACATCCGTATACACCATGCATCCGTATGCACCATACATAGTGCATACGGATGCACAGCATAACGATTGACATAACATTATGTGGACCATGATCCACACAATAATTTGCCGATATAAATTGCCATACCTATATGTGCATGGGTTTTGACAATTATAAACTGTCTCAAAGAACATTGCATTTGAGCCCAAATCGCTACAAAAAATGAGCCCAGCCCAACTACTCCAGTCCAAATCTAACCTAGAGATATAAACCTCAGTTTCTACTTTCTAGTATCTGTCTCTAGGGTTTTGTTGAGAGCTTTCAACTCTGCGCCACATTCGCCGGAAACTTGCTTCTTGCCCGAGCTATTCCGCCGATCCAGCCATGGTAAACGCACACGCACTCTCTCTCTCCACCTCTATTATCGTTTTCATTATCTATACATTTGTTTGCATATCACTTTTGCTCACTTTCCGTCTGTTTCAGATCATTTCCGAGAAGAACCGCAGAGAGATCTCAAAATACCTCTTCCAAGGTCAGTATTAGTTTTTCACCTTTTCTGCGCATATTAAGTACATGTATTTGTGGTCGTAAAGAGGGAATTGAGTGTGTTGATGTGTTTATGTGTATTGTGTACAATAATGAATGCAATGTGTTTGTGAATTGTGATGTAGAGGGTGTGTTGTATGCTAAGAAAGACTACAACTTGGCGAAACATCCGTTGATTGATGTGCCGAATCTCCAAGTGATTAAGCTGATGCAGAGCTTCAAGTCGAAGGAGTACGTTAGGGAGACCTTCGCTTGGATGCACTACTACTGGTACCTTACTAATGACGGCATTGAGTTCCTCAGGACTTACCTCAACCTTCCATCTGAGATCGTCCCCGCAACTCTCAAGAAGTCCGCCAAGCCTCTTGGCAGGCCCATGGGTGGCCCTCCTGGAGCACGGTAGTTAATTGTGCATTAGTTTATTGATGTGAATTAGTAGGTTTTTTATGCATATCTTCAGAAATTAACTGTATATTGGTGATTTGTGAAATGTGAATGCACTTGCAGTGGACCACCAAGATTTGGTGATGGCGAGAGGAGGTTTGGTGACAGGGATGGATATCGCAGTGGCCCAAGAGGAGGTCCACCTGGTGAGTTTGGAGGCGAGAAGGGTGGAGCTCCAGCTGATTTCCAGCCATCGTTCAGGGTATGCTTATCCCTGTTAACTTTTGTGAATTGTGATCAGAATCTTTAGTGTGTAATTTTTTTTCCAATGCATGGTTCTTATTATAATTAGTTTAGTTATTGCTTTACTGCCTGCTGATTGATGGTGTGTAGTATTTGTTTGAAGGATGAACATTTAAATTAGGTAATTGAAGTTAAATTTTCCAAGTAATTGATGGAAATTATTTTAAATTTGGTTGATTGTAGATTGCTTACTGTTACTGATTAGAGATTAACCCTATTTAGAGGACTTAGGTGGCATATAATAACTGATATAAATGTGCACAGACCAAGTTAATTGCTCAAAAAGTTAACGTTCTTGATTCATGGAGGTCTATCCAACTTCCTTACACTGTTAAATATGTGTAGATATTTGCTTCACTGCCGTTTCTTGATTTGATCAGTAACTATGTGGGCAATGCGTGTTTCCCTTGTTAAGTGTGTAATTATCCCTCTTAGAAATGTGAGGTTACAAGACACAATCTGATGGGAATTGCCCTATGTGAATCATTTCATCTCCTGTTTAATGATATCCACGAATACATGTCACTTTCACACTGATTGTGCTTAGCTTATGATTTGGATGTTTATGTATCAACACCGTGTTTTATGTTTCAAATATTATGTTTTTTTAATTGTCCACATATCTATGATGTGATTTCTGTAGCCAGAGGTTGACATGGGGAAATGGGAAGAACTTGCAGTGTTTCCTTTTGTGTTTCATGACTTGTCCATTTTTAATGTAATTTAACTAAAAAGTTTTTACATTAAGATCTGGAATGCATGTTTCCCTTGCTTGGAATTTATTTCTTCTATAGTTCCTAATATTATTTGCCAACTAATATTATGTTTTCTTGATTCACCTGTTTGATGGGATTGGTTTTTGGTTATGCTCCATGGTTGATTTTTTGAAACTTAACATACCTTTGATTTGCAGGGTTCTGGTGGAAGGCCTGGGTTCGGTCGCGGAGCAGGAGGCTTTGGTGGTGGTGCTCCCCCAAGTTCTAGCTTCTCTTAAATGAATGCCTCATTTTGTAGGGTTTTAAACTTTTTATTAGTTATCCCAAGTTAGAGAATCAGATATTTGGAAAGTTGAAATTACTTGGTTATATATTCAATAGTTGTTCTACAACTTATGGTTTGTTCTGTTTGCTACAATATATAACATTGAACTGTGCAATTTACAGCGTTTTTTGTGTGTTTTTAAAACATTAACTTTGGGCACTATATATGATTTTGATGATCATAACTCAATATGGAATGAACACTTATTTAAGTGACATTCAATTCTATATAATGTTATCAAGATATGAGTTGTATTAGTATAAATATAATTCAACTCTTTTAGAAGTTCGAATTGTATAGCATAGAGATTCTTAAGTTAATCCTTTTTGTTTGAATGTTTGATGTTTGATTGTTTTCGGTTCCTTGTTTGTGTCAGTTTTTCCCTTATTAATGATTACCTTTTACTTTTATTTTATAATATAAAATAAGAATAAGGGTCTAAACTACAATTAGGCCATCAAACTCAAAAATAATGCAATTGGGTTCCTAAACAACACAAAATCATATAATTAATTAAAAAAAAAAAAAACTAATCTACTGATTCGTCTCCATGGCCGGAGAACACCAACCATGGAGTTTCGTCTCCGTGGCCGATGGTCTCCGTCGTGGAGACGAAATTCCATGGCCGGTGGTCTCCGGCCATTGAAACAAAACTTCATGGCCGGTGGTCTCCGGCCATGGAGACGAAACTCCATAGCCGGTGGTCTCCGGCCATAGAGACGAAACTCCATGGCTGGTGTTCTTCGGCCATGGAGTTTCTCCCTTCGTCTCCATGGCTGGAGACGTAGGTTCCAGCCATGGAGACGAATCAGTAGATTAGTTTTTTTTTTTTTTTTTTTTTTTTTTTTTAAATTTAATTTAAATTTTAATTAATTATTTTAAAAATCCGTAACCTGCTCTTCCAGGTAAACAGGTTATTTTGGACCTAATTGCATTATTTTGTGTTGTTCAGAAGCTCAATTATATTATTTTTGAGTTCGATGGTTTAATTGTAGTTTGATGTACAATTGAGTGACCTATTTGACCCTTATTCCTATAAAATATAAAGAAAATTAACCATTTGAAAAAAATTAGTAATAGTTAAGTTTTGTTGTCACCCATAGTATATAGGATTTAATTATGAGATCTTTGAGTTTATAGTGCAATCCTTTTGTTTGTTTGTTTTTTTTTTTTTGGTTTTTTTTTTTTTTTTTTAAAGATACAAGTTAATGCTTCCACCTTGATTTTTATGTACTCCTTCCATCTTATTTTGTGTCTAGTTGGATTAATGACTATTATATTATAAATGGCCCAGAAATTGCACAATAAATATAATCTGTTAATATTGTGTACATCTAAATTATATTATATTATATATATACTGGTTTCAAACAAAATAAAGAAAATAAAGATGTACAGAAAGCGTGTTTGCATTTGGAAATGGAGCCACCTGGAGCTGATGAAAAGATTGCTTTATATCACTTCTATACATACATTTACTACCAACCCATATATTTCCCTCTGGAATCCAACTCCCTCCATGTGACTTCCAAATACTCATATTTTATTGAGCTGTTATACCGTGGATCACGGTCCACCTTGCAAAGTGGATCTTGGTCTTAAACAGCGTATAAATTGTATATTTTTAGTATTGAAATTGTGCACTTCTAAAATATAAATTGTGTTTTTAAGTCAAAACACATAATATATGTATATTTTTAGTATTGAAATTGTGCACTTCTAAAATATAAATTGTGTTTTTAAGTCAAAACACATAACATATGTAGATAAGAATTTGTGAATACAATATACGGTCATCAAATTCTAATATGTAAATATTGTGTGATTGCAGTATTTGAAATGAACTTGTGAATACAAAATAAGGTAATCAATTACATATATGTTAATTTTGGGAAGGATTTTAGATTTGTACTGAGTATTGTGTGAATAACTTACTATTACATTAATGAGAATGTGACTGAGAAAGTATACTCATGGGATATGTGCATGCATACATATATTCATGTGCCAATGAAGAATTAAATTATTTATTAAGGAGTGGGTTTTCACTTTGTAGTGTGTGAATTGCACATCTCAAAAACTTGGAGTTGGAAATCAATATTTGACTGATTATTGTTCAAACTAATACGTCAAACACACATATACAAACAATCAAACATTTATAAAATATGATCCGAATTAAAATGAATGGTCAAGTGGATGGAACATGATTATATTCTCGTAAAATCATGATTCTTGTCAACACTTACTTGGTCACACCCGTTAAATGCACAGAGTCAATTTCGTGCTCTTGTATGATTTATTGGTTATTTATAATACAGGAATTGAACTAACGGAGTTTAATGTATATCTTTAAATAGTGATTGCGAATTTTGTCGTGGTTTAAGAAATCAAAATTCAAAAGAATAGTAGGGTATTAGAGTTGGTAGCAAAATTAGGGTTTTGTGTTACAACAATGTCGGCCACAACAAAGCTACAACACGACACCTTCCTCATATCCCTAAATACAATATTATAGGCTACCAACATGTAGTTTAGTCTTGTCAACATTGTTGTTTTCTATATCTATAATATGAAATTAAATACCAAATCTTTCCGGGAAATGGGAAGAAGCAAATTCAAGAAATCAGTGCAGTGGTTTACTAATCAAATAAAAATATAAATTTATTTATTTGTATATTTCTTCCATTGGTCTTGCGTAAAGTTATTATTTTTAGTGAAATGTAATAATTTTTTTAAAAAGCTCCTATTGTATTTCACTCTTATTTAAGACAATTCTACACAAGTTTTTGTGTATTTTTTTCAATTAGAGAACGAATTTTTTTCAATTGGAGAACGAAGAATGGAAAATTGGTTGACAGGTGGTCGACTGGTCGTGGGTGAAATATGATTCTCATATTAAAAGGTTGCATACAGTTTTTAGTGTGATTTACGTACTTTTCTTGTGCGATTTGCGGGTTATTACATATAAGCAATTCGAAGATATTCAATAAAAGTTTTAAAATGCAATATCCTGCATCACGAGGACTATGAAAGTGTTTGGTAAATAGTTGTTAGCTGATTATGTTAATAAGTTTGATTAGTTGATAGCTAAGCAGATTATAAAAATGGTAAATTAATTGTTAGCTGAATAGCTGATTACATGCAAAATGATTTTCAAAAAGTTTATCGAAAAAGCTATTTGAACAGCTTTTTAACAATAAATTGTTACAAAAAACTAATTATTCAAACACTTATATTGAATGTTTAATCAAGTCAAACAACTAATAGTGGTCAAATAAACCAAAATTGATTGATAAGCTAACTATGTTACCAAACATGACCTATATTTAATTTACAAACGTGAACAAATAAACACCAAAATAACTAGTCGTGTACAAAATACAAATATCCGAAAAAGATAAACAATGGATCCATAATGTTTCATGGTCTTCATGGATGACGAAATGGGAAGGATTTGTTGTGAATGGGACGACGTCGTCTGACCCAATGATAATCCATGGTGTAGAACTCAGAAGTGTCTGTGTCCCTGTCACTCCCCTCCATCCACTCTTGCCTTGTCCCTTTTCTTGCATGTCTTCCCACCTTTCCTTCTCTCCCATGCCTCTTCTCTACACAAGTTCAAATAAATTAATCATACAATATAATGGTCTTTTGTCATGCCCAACTTGATTTTCTTTGATTTACGAGAAATTAAGTCTGCAGCCACTACCCGAAGGTGTGTGCACGGGTGAAGGTCGGCTTGTGACCTTAATTAGCCAGCAAAAAACCACACCAGTCTAAGTTGCCTGTAGCTGGCTCAAACCAATAGACAGGTTTGTAGAGAGTCGAACTTACAACCTTGTAGTTACTAAGTTAATTGTTTGATCAATTTGATCTTCTTCTTGCATTATATTATTGCAGTGTTTCTTTTCCCATTTTAATGGAGTGCTGATGAAGCTCCTCCATGGCTCCACGCATGTGGAAGAAGGTGAGCCCAAACACACCCTCCATGCATACAGGATATATATATATATATATTGCATCATTCTCGGGTAAATCTATGTTGTTGTAGGGATTAAGTTTTACCTGATAATGCAACTTCTTGCTTATTGACAGTAGTAGTGGGATGATAATGGGAGTCATCTCCATAGCTTTTCACCTGTTTCATACCAAAGATATATTAATACTTCATAATGTCATGTGGACTTCATATATATATATATATATATAGTAATGATCAAAAGAGACAACCTCTTCCGTGAATCCATGAGACCATTCATAAATGCACACAATTTACTACACGAATGCACACAAACCAGATTGTGTGCAATTTGTCCAGCATGAATGCACAAACTACACAAATTCATGCTGGGCAAATTGCACACAATCTACTTTATGTGCATTCGTGTAGTAGATTTTGTGCATTCATGAAGGGTCTCGAGAACTCACAGGAACATTAGCCTATATATACATGTGTGTGTGTGTGAGTGAGAGAGAGAGAGATAGCAGGGAAGAAAGCTTGCATACAGTTGCAGCATCATTGGTTAGCTTGAGCTTTCTTGGATTCACAGCAGGGAACTGAATCTGTTGTTTGTTATCTGTTCCTGAAACCATCAATGCAGATGATAAGTAAACCATTTGAAAAACCAAAAGCACAGGCAACCCCAGTCAAATTAGTCAGGTCGTTAACTTGGTAACCATAAAATTGCAAGTTTGAATCCCAGTAGGAGCGGCCTATTAGCCTTCTTAGTTTGAGCCAGCCAACTATGGACAAACTTTCTTCGGCTCCTTGTGGTCCTTTGCCAGCTAAGGTCACAAGGCAGGGTGTTTACCCCATACACCCCCGTCTAGTGACTGCGAGGTTCCCTCATCACCCAAAAACGAAAAACGAAAAAACGATATTAAGAAGAAGCAGGTTAAAGATTCAACTGACCTTGATCATAATGGGACACTGTCTTTCCAAGAGCTTCTTGAGCTGTGAGAATGAGACACAGAGCTGTAATCACTCTGATCATTATTTCCATATCTGCAGGCAGTGTGACAGTATTTCTCTCTGTGTGTGTGACACTTGAGAAGATGCTCAAATGGCTGTTAACAAACTGGGCATTTATAGCAGTCAAAAGAAAAGCCTGTACACAACTGCAGAGAGAAAAGAGAAAGACAAAAGAAGAGTACACAGAGCACAAGAGACTCTAAGACTGTGCCAAAAACAGCAATGCATATGCAAAAAAATCAACATTTTTTTTCCCCGCTTTGCCTTTTAAGGAACCTTCACGCTGTTTCAGTTGACCTGTCCTTTCATCGTGGGGACCATCAATGAATATTCTCAGTTAAATATACTAACCACACAGTATTATCAACCCAAAGTAACCAAAATGTCACACTACTATTTCTTGAAACGGGTTTCTCAAATCTCAACAGCTCTCAGATACAGTTTGGGCCGAGGATGCAAGCGTATGGACAGTTATTATAGATACAGAGGCTATATCCACAGATCGAGAAAGAAAACCGAGCATAACAAGATCATAAGGAATAACAAAATTCAGTAACATGACTCAAAAGATGGCTTGCATGGGCAATATGTAAGATTTGAAAATGATTTTTGATTGAATACAATAGTGTATAGTTTTTACATCTGTTGCCTGCATATGCTTCAGTGCACCCGAAACTTGAGATATATATATATGTATCAACATGTATCAAATAGCATTCGGTTTAAAAAAACTTCTGGTCTTCATGATGTGTGTGTATATGCGTTTTACCTAAGAGCCTAAATGAAATAGTAAAGAATTTAGAATCTACAGCAAAGAAGGCCCTGCATCCAACCCCGGTTCTTTCGGTATCTCCCATCTCCTTTTGCCATTCTTACCGGACTGCTATTCCACTCGGATTGTAGTCTGGAACCAGAAACATTATTAAAATTGTCAAGAATGCGGGTTAGTCATTAAACTGAGAAAGGGCATAAGAAAACGGGAAAACATACATTGGGAAAGCAAAGGATCTTGCGCTGGTGGTGCTGCTATCCGATCGAAGAGAAATGTTCCCGGAATGTGGGATTAGTCCGGAATAAGAAATTAAACCCGACATAGGACCAACCGAAGAGAAACTAGCCTCCCCGTGATCGTGGCTACCAATTGAAAAATTAGCGGAGGCTTTGTCCTCACTATTACCCACGTCTTGCAACTCGGGTCCTAAAGGGTTTCCACGAGAATTTTCAGCGGTCTTCTCAGTGTTTCTGCATTGAACTTCGCTAGCAGGTGCAGCTGACGTTTTATCCGAAATCCCTTCCTCGTTATTTGGCATGGCATCCGAATCAAGGGCTTTTTTGGAAATCTTTTCAGCACTCTCGTCGAAAGTACTATGGTCATTCTTGTTTGGTTCGACATTTGTTGGCACAGTAGCATGACTTTCCAAGATTGCCTCTTCGGGAGACTGCAAAGGGAACAGAAATAAGAACATCATATTTCAAGATGAAAACGTCAATTGTTTGACATAGTATTTTTCTGTAGTGAATTTATTCTTTTATTTCATTATTGAATTAGGAAAACAAAGATGCAAACCTGACAATCCTGCTGTGCACACGATGATTCGAGAAGCGGCTTATTACTAAACGATTGTGTTTCGGACGCATCATTGTCTACTTTTCCAGTTTTGGCAAGTTTTGATCCAAAAAGCTTCATCAAATCCTCTAGGTAAGTATCCGTGACAGATTCTTTATTGACATTATTCTCCACCGATGATATTAGACAATCGGGAGCAATAGACTCAATATCATCTTTAACTGTGGATGTATTAGCAGCACCGATCTTGGGATTCTTGGAATCCTGTATTTTTGACGGGTCGCCAGAAAGCATTTCCTTTTGAACGTCTTCTCCCAAGCTGTCATTTTTATCACCAAAACTACTATCGTTCGGGTTCTCGATCAAGTTTTTGTCTACTATGGGCACCCCCTCGTCGATACAAATATCTTTGACATCGTTAGAATTGCTCTCTTTGTAGCTATCTATTGACTCGGGAAATTCAGGCTCCATTATGTGTTTATCAGCACCCAAGTGCGAAAACTCTGAACCCGATTCTGCACCAGATATGCCACATCGAACTTCATAAACACCAGAGTTTTCGATCATGAAGCTTTCATATTCTGGACTTTTCAATAGCCCATCTCGATCCTGTTTATCAGATTCGAACAGAACTTCTTCACTGGTCTTGTGAGCATTAAAGTTAAAGATCACACCTTTAGCATCCTTTAACGGTGAACATTCATCTTCATTCTCGATATGTTTGAGAGAGTTGTCCATAAACGCAGGGAAGTCAAGTTCATCGCTATCTTTAGCACCATTAGTTATATAATCGTTCTCTGCTACAAGGCCTGTTGAGTCAAGAACGACTTTTTCCTCAGAGACAAATAGATCAGCCTCCCTCTTACCGTCATTTAAATGACAAAACATTCCATGATTCTCCTTTATGCTCGTTTTTTCTTCTGCTGTGTGAAGGGCACAATCGTCACATTCAACCGGTTTGTCAGCACGCCCAGTTGACTTCTCAATGCATGTCTACCAAATTTCGAAAACAAAATATATCACCGATATAAGCATGATATATACGTTAATAGTGCAAAGATTATCACCGATATAAGCATGATATATACGTTAATAGTGCAAAGATACTAGCAAATAATGCTAGCTTAACAAGATTTTACGGGGCAGATTCTACAGGAGCTGCAAATCTGCAATGCAACGAAAATATACGAGTTTGCATAATTACCATGTTTCTCAGTTGACATCAAACAATAACGATATCGGGTACCTGGTCCATCATGAAACCAGTGTTAAACAACGATTAATCAATGCTTGCCAGCATAATCTTTAAAATATTTTGAACTAAATCCAGTCTTTCAAAACAAAAGAAGGCAGAAAGCAGTATGCAAAACTGAAAGCAAACAAAGACTAACCGATCCACGGTATTATATCACGGGCATTAAATTCATATATAATCAAAACATCGAAACATTCACCTTCTTTGGCACAATTGAAAACGAAAGAAGATACTCGTGAGCAGTTAAGATGAACAGTATTTTTGGGGTTCTTTCGGAGCTAAGTTATATAGGCAAAAACATGATTAATAGAAGTGAAACAGATATGAATCTCCCTCACCGAATGCTCATTAAACAGACGAAATTCCTGCAATTGATTCAACCGTCCATATAAAAGCTAAGGCGAAAGAAGTAAAAGACAAGCCTCTGTTGCATCCGAGCACAAGAAGAATGCCACTAAGTTCCAAATTTATGCCACGCTTTTTACCATCGAATCGTTAGTTATTCCTTCCCTCACATCCTGCCCCGGCATACCCACCCTCCAATCATCGTGGGCACTTTACTACTTTAGACCGTAAGACTAAAGCAAAGATCTTTTCTTCCTTTTTCCCCTCCTAAAGTTCTTGTAAGGCATAAATAAATAAATAATTGTCTTAAGCTTTTGGAACCACCATGTGCAATCTTGAAACTTTGTCCTAAGATAACAAGAAAGACAAGAAAAGGTGCCCACTTTTCTCAATCACAGTTCCACAAACCCTTCACTCCTAAGTCAATCCCACCCCCCCAATACCATTTCTTTTGTCCTTTTGGTCTCTCAGATCTAAGTTCTAATCAATTCAGCAATTCAACCACAATAATACCAAATTAATAATTTTTTTAAAGAACTGAACAAAAACAAAGAAAACACCCAATCCCACATGATACATTCTGACAGATTCTTGATGGATCCGACAAAATCCCCAATCCTATGAGCCATGATAAAAAGGATTAATAATAAATCGAAACAAATTCTTAAACATGATGGTTAAGGAACCCAAAAGGAGCTTCCTTGTTCATATGCAAGAACACACAAAAAAAACAGACAGAGATTAAAATACAAAAACAAAAAAAAGGGGAAAATTAAGGGCAATCACAAAAACAGATCCATCCACCCCAAGATCCAAAACCCACCCTTTAAACACAAAATCACACAAACCCATACACTCAAACATGTATTAGGAGGAAAAAAGATGATACCTTTGGGGTGCTAGGGGGAGAAACAGAGATGACAACTGCAGAAAATGTGAAGTAACATTGCTTGTATAAGGATGTTTTCTTCAATTCTCGCGTCTATACATACCTAAATTTCTGCTAGGACTATAAATGTGTGTATTTATGTATGTGGGTTTAGATGGAAAGGAAATAATAATGGCAATGGATGTTGTTCCATTCCACCCATAAATAGTCAACTCTCTCTCTCCCTCTTTCTCTCTCACCATACATAATCACCAAATAATATGCACTTACTGTATAATAATTACATAATACATATCTATATATGGATGGAGACATGGAGTGATCAAGTACAGTTCACAACTGAAGACTGGATCATTAATACTGACTAACATTGCATGTACACACTAAATACTTATTTAATCCAATTAGTATTAGAATATATATATATATATAGTTGTATTCACATGCAAACACCCTTAAAATACAAATATGTAGACATATATCGTGCACACACCTAAATGCGAGTATGCACACATCCGTGAACAACAGTGCACACATCTAATGTAGTATGCATGTGTGAGTCCACAGTATTTGGGCCGGCATACACACATCCCCGAACGGCAGTACAGACAGGCGGGCAGCACACAAAATCATAAAAACTAATCACAACATTAAATACCCAAAATCCAACAATCTAAAAATGTCCGCACGTTTGTATTTTAAGCCTTGTTTTTACATAAATGTAATTATATATATATATATATATATATATATATATATATATATATATATATATATATATATATATATATATTTAAATGAGATCTCTTTTTTTTTTTTTTTTCAAATTTTACATTAAAAATATATATAGTTTTCTTCTTTTAAAATTAAGCATGAAATCCATAGTTTGAAGGGCCTTATGCATCAACATTCAAAGTTTCTCATAGTGAAACCCAATCAGACCTGACTAAATTAGTTTAATCATACAAAGTGTAAATCTGATTACATTATTATGAAAACATTATCTATTACTCTGTAATATTTAATCACTTTATTGTGATAATATATATATTATTATATTACTCCATAGTTACAAGATTAAAGAAAAAATGAATCAATCAACCAACTTAGTAGTGATTAAAATTTAATGTGATTATCGAATATCATAGTGGCCGGAAAACTACACTCTACGGCGGCCGTGTAACGAGCAGTAAGCATGAAGAAAAGTTAAAAACGTATCTCAGTTGGTGGAATAAGTAATGATCAGATCATTCATTATTTTATGCAGAAATGGATTTATAGGCTGACAAATGGAATATATAGGGGAAATAGCCAGCTGGGGAAGGGGACAAAATGAAATAGTCAACGGTGGATCTATCGGAGTTTACTTTTTCAGCCGGAAAAATGGGCAGTTTAGCAGTCCCTGATGGAGATTGGAGGATAAAGAAAATAATAGATAGAATCTCATTTTATACTTTTAATTTTTATTTTTTTAATAAATTTTTGATGTATACATTTTTCTTAGAATTCACATGATTCAAATATTCAATCTTTATTTTCATCATTTGGGATGATGAAAATTATGGTAACTCAATTAAATACAGAGATTAGACCTTTGCGAATCCTTTGCGAATTCTCTCTCATTTTGAGAGATTGCTCCCACACTGTCGCGAATAAGACTCGATCCCTGATCATTCTTTTCAAATTTTACCGTTGTGACCAACTGAGCTACTCATGTTGACAGAATTTGAGAATACATGTAGTAGAACTCGGAGGATAAGGGTGTTTAGTAAATAGCGGTTTGGTTGTGTTAGTAGGTTTGATTAGTTGATAGCATTAGTTGATTGTAAAAAAGTATTTGGTAATTTAGATGTTAGGATAACTGATTATATGCAAAATGACTATCTCAAAAGTTGATTGAAAAAATTACTTTGAACAATTTTTTTTTTTTTTTTTAAATCTTAGCATTTGTAGTGTAAATCATCTAAGAGTGAGACATGTACTATTTTTAATTAAAATATAATGTTTTTATGAAGAAATTGAAAAGTATTATAGAGTACATTTTAACTAATAAAAAGTATTACAACTGTGTGAGACTGCCCGACATAGGAATACTTATGAACTCACTCTAGTATTTTTTTTTGACAATCAAATCAACAAACTTTTAATTAACCCACATCGGGGAAAAGATGAGACATAAACATAGGTGGAACCCAAGAACAACAATCTGCCTAGTCAACCCCACAAACAATTACAGCTAGTTTTGTTCATGGAATGAATTTTGAGGTAATAGGAATGCTATTCAATAAGGAATGGAATAGGCAAGGAATAAAATAGGAATTGTATTCTATTGTTTGGTTCGCGGAAGGAATAGACTTTAGGAATTATATTACAGTATTTGGTTGATTTAAGGAATAGAAATGAAATATGTTTTAAAAGACATAAATACCCTTATAAAAATATGTGATGGTGGCTGTGGTGGGGGTGGTGGTGGTGATAGTGGTGGTGGCGGTGGTGGTGATAGTGGTGGTGGCGGTGGCAGTGGTGGGGGGCGACGGTGGTGGTGGTGACGGTGACGGTTGTGGTAGTGGTGGTGGGGGCGGTGACGGTTGTGGCGGTGGTGGTGGCGGTGGTGCTGCTGGGTGGTGGTTTTGGTGGCGGTGGCGGCGATGGTGGTGGCGGTGGTGGTGATGGTGGTGGTGGCGGTGGTGGTGATGGTGGTGGTGGCGGTGGTGGTGGTGGTGGCGGTGATGGTGCTGGGGTGGTGGTGGTGGCAGTGGTAGTGGTGGTGGTGGCGGCGACGGCGATGGTGGTGGTGGTGGCGGCGGCGACGGCGATGGTGGTGGTGGTGGCGGCGGCGGCGGTGATGGTGGTGGTGGTGACGACGGTGGTGAAATAGGATAAATTTATATATATGATAAAAAAATTAAGTTAAAGAAATTGGTAAAAAAGGAAATAGATTCTAAAATCTATTCCTGAGCGTTCAGTAATAGGCTAATACCAGGGGGGGCCCTAATAATAGCTATTACCTTATTTGAGGTAATAGGCTATTACCAGGAATATTATTCCTGATAATAGAAATGGTTACCAAACAAATGAATATGCCTATTACTGGGAATGCTATGCCATTCTCGGCCTATTTCGTGAACCAAACGGGCCATTAGAGTATGAGCTGCTAGATTCAAAGAATGATTTACATGAAAGACAATTGTGAATGTTTGGTAAATGGTTGTTAGCTGATTGTGTTAGTGATTTAACTATTTGATAGCATTAGCTGATTGTGGAAAAGTGTTTAATAAATTACATTATTTACATACAAAATGATTTTCTCAAAAAGCTAATTGAAAAACTACTTTGAGTAACTTTTTGAATTTTAGCATTTTGGAGCAATAATTTGTTACAAAAAAAGTAATTAATCTAACACTCATATTGATGGGTTAACCAAGTCAAATAATTAATAGTTGTCAAATAAGCAAAAATTAACTGATAGGCTAACTATTTTACCAAACAGGTCAATGTGTTATAGGAGTGATTTTAAGAAAACATTAAATTTTGTTTAGGCATCTATGTAGGTAAATTGTATTATAGACTAATGTTCTACTCCATTACAAAAATCACTAAATAATATTTTACTAATATGTGTTATTATTTCATTAATTTTTTATATAAATTTTGGATGACGAGGGAACCTGCAACAACTCCTCAAGAGTGTACACATGGTAAATTTTGTTCGTTCATAAATACAAATGTTAGGGTGTGTTTGAATACAAGTTGTAAATATTTTTGTGTGAAAGATGAGAGATTGTGTGTATATTTTTTTATATTGAAATCTCTAATTATACATGTATAGGATATAATATATTTGTTGTGTAGCTCGAGATAATGGGAAGAAACTACCTAAGTACACAATGTATAATCAAATTTGATGTCTCATCTACTTTCTCGTACTAATATTGCAATCTACAATGTGTTGGGTAACTTTCAACACGATACATATCCCACTTGGCGCTATTTTATTACCCTGTTTGGTAAAATGGCTGTTAGCTGATAGCTGTTTGTTGTTAGTTGATTGTGTTAATTAGATGGTATAAATAGTTGATAACATTAGCTGATTGTAGAAAAGTGTTTGGTAAATTAGCTGCTTGATATAATTTCTTTTCTCAAAAAGCTAATTGAAAAAGTTGCTAGGAGTAGCTTTTTTAATTTTAGCATTTTGGAGTTGCAAAAAGTCAATTAACCAAATATTTATATTGATATTTTAACTAAATCAAACAATTATTAGTGGTCAAATAAACTAAAATTGACCTATAGGCCAATTTTTTACCAAACAGGGCCATATATCTCTCAACAAGCGAGATTAGGAAAATATGTCAATTAGGTTAGCAAGCAACACAGAGAAATACAAATACAATTAGGTTATCAAAGTTAAAAAGGAAAATAATTATAATTGACTAATTAAACAAGCTAAAATTGTGCAATTGTACAAAAATAATTGATTATCCATATTACTTGCCAGTCACTTTACATTATGTAACATTTGTCTACAAATCTTATATATTTTTAGCAAATGTAATGTTCATTTAAGCAATTCTCTTCTTCATTGTGAACAAAATTAGTGTTCTAAAACAATATTTTCAAGTTACCATAGAAATTGGTCAATCTTCTTCATGACCATGGAAATCAAATGAAAAATAATATTTCAATATTTTAAAAAACTATTATCCTTAAATTTAAGATGAACTTCATTGTCTTTGATGTATAACTAGCTAGAGACAAACAATTTCATATCATATGAAGATGAAACATCTTTGTTTCTGTATCTATCTGAAATGAAGCCTTACTTTGATTGGAGTTCTTAATTTTTTAAACATAAAAGCTTTAGAAATAGTCGAAAAAGAGGAAGTAAGTGAGGCTGAGATGGTTAGAGATGTAGAAGATTAGGCTATTCCAATGGTGAGATGGTTAGTGTAAATGTGTTATTGACTTTCGCTATCATAAAATTACGGTAGCTAGTTCGATTAAAATTCAAAATTTGCACTAAAGTTAAAGAAAAAAAATATTAAATGCCAGTCACATGGCAAATCATCTAATTACATCAATTGTTATATCGTAGA